AGATTGACAGTGAATGGGGTTAGCACGAGGCCATCAGACTCCCTGCCAGGCTAACTGAACTCCCTCCAAGTACTGTCATTGACCTGCAAGCCACTGCCGCCACCATTCGACCAATCACGTGACTTGTCTGACTCACCAGCTCTGTGCTCCACCAATCAGGCCTTTCTAGTCAGCCTGGGCAGACTCTCTCCAGGGATTGGATAATGCTTGAACCCTTCGCCCCCCTTTCCCACCTGTGTCCAGCCTGTAAGCTATGACCCTATGATGAATATGTGTGTGTGCGTATGTGTGTGCGTGTGGATGGCCAGACTGTTATATTCACTATTCAGGATTGCTAAGACCGCTGGTTATCATAACTTGCCTTTTAGAGACAGTAAGAGAAGGTTGCTTGTTGGTTGGGTAAAAGTCAAGCTAAGCTGTGGATTTAAAGGAGACATGAGTTTGGCTGGAGGTATCCCAGCATCCCCAGTCCTCAGTTGAGGTTCTTTCCTGTCTGTCAGAGAGGGACGCAAAGCCACAGCGTTATGGGTCAGCGGGGACGAACCACCGTCCTCTCCTCCTCCCTCCATTTTTAATCACTGTGCTACAATGCAATCCTATAAACAAGCCCAAGTATATGAATATACCAGTATACAGTATCATTTGTTTTCTAAGTATGTGAAGCTATGGAGAAGATGTAGATCTAACACTGTACCTAGGTCACAGATCACTATGTATGGGGTGTTATGCTTTTGCTCATAACTCCATGTAAAATGAAGAATGATTTATTTTGTCTTTTTTTTTTCCTCCATTATTTGATTGTGTGTATATTGACATTATTGTGTATTTTCTTTGGTTTGCCACAAAATGACCTTTTTTATATATATAAAAAAAGAATATACCACAGTATATACAGTATTAAATTAAGCTGTTTTTTTTATTTTGAAGAGATCAAACTGGATTTTTGGCAAGTGTCAAATTTCTGAACATCAGTTGTGTGTATAAGCTGACAGGTTGACGGAGGCTTCTACTCTGCCAGCGTTCAATTCTGATGTCATTTTCTTTTAAAATCACGTCTTTTGAATATCCCCTCTCTGTCTGTCTGTCTGTCTGTCATGTCTGGTTCCACTCATCTTCAACTTCCAACTTTCAGTTTCAAGGCGGTAAATGTTTGGATATTAATAATACACACACACACCATTGATTTTTCATCGAGAGCACACACATACACACACCAACGCTTCACCCTTGGGGATATTCTTTGCAGCTTTCATACACCTTTCATCGCAAGTAGTGCAATTATACGCTGTAGCTGAAGAGGGTTGCGCATTTCATTATGTCCATTTACTTTGATTTTAAGGTGCATAACAATGTTTTTTAATTCCTTTTCTTAACTAAGCCTATTCTTGCAGCAGGTGCCTCTTTTTTGTGAACAGTATCAAGTCATTAGTCGGCATCCGTCCACTCACTGCGTTCATTTACAGTTAACTGTAACTGTGAAACATAGTTCTACTGGAATTAAATCCTAATATCAGGTCAACGTCACATACAAGTCCCATTGACAGTGGTGACTCAGTGTAGGTGCAAGTGAAACCGACTCAGTGTTGTTGGGCTGAAGTCATCATAAGCTGAAGTCAAATAAAAATTTCAGGGAAAGTTAAAAAGAAAAAAAAAAAGCAAATGAACCGTAATTATTATTTTTTCAGATAACCCCACTGTGCTTTGCTTCATTCTGTCTGTACGGCTCCTGGATCTACATTGTATCCTGTTCAGGTATTTTTGTACAAATAAGGGACTGATATATTCTCTGTTTATTGGAAATTAGAATAAAAGACAACATTGCTATAAACCAAAAGTGTGTGGCCTGTTGCTGTGTTATTCCATTGTGTACTGTAGAGCATGTGGGTCACAAGTTTGTATAATGTTGACTGAACTTTTGCTAACCCAACCCCTTCAGTTCCTGACCATTTTCAATTGACCTTTATGATGGCAGTATAACTATTGCATTAACAGATCTTTGCAGCAAAACATGAAGATTCAGAATAATTCAAGTGAAATGTGCAAAGAGTTTTAACTGGTTATTAATACTGATGCCTCTATGTGCACACCGGATCATCAACAACCAGTTATTCTTAATGTCAATTAATTGTCAATAATGATTTTAAAAAGTAAACCTACACATACGCACATAATCAAATAAAATTAATTGTTCTTTAGAATAAAGTCAGTGTGTATACATCAATATTTATTTGCAGATTTTAAATTCACAAGATCAGGACCTGTGATGCAACTGAAACCAGGGCTGAAATCATGGATGGTGTTTTTAATATATTTGTATTGTCAGTGATTGAAGAATTGCTTAGATATTTTACTAAAGTACAAATACCAATTCCACAATGTAAAAAGTAAAAGTTATGCATTCAAACTCCTACTAAAGTCCTGTCAGCAAAATGTAATTAAAGTTATCAAAAGTAAAAGTATTTGTTTTACAGAGAAATGGCTCCTGGGACTGATATTATATGACATGATTAATAAATTGTTAAAAGGAGTTTGGTCTAGATGTGCTCTATTTGAAAAGGGTCCTGAAATAACTTCTGTTATGGCGCTATACAAATAAAATTGAATTGAATTGAATAAATATACAGTTACAGCTCAATTAGTAGTGTTTCTCAACCTAGGGCGCCCCCTGAAGACGGTCTTGAGGTAAATGTAAAGGGGTCCTGAGATACTTCATGGAAGTTGGGAGAAAATAAAACACTGATCTGATACACAATTTCATTTTTTAAATTACTATAAAAAATGAATACAGGTTTTTTGTCTTTTGGATATTTTTTCCTCTTTGAGCCTCAAACAGATGAAACCATCTGAATAGTTTAAAGGGGAAATATCTCACAATAACTGGTCTGTCTGAAAACAAAGGGTTAAAAACAAGAAAGAAACAACTCATTTAATCTGATCTTTTTATAGGTCACAGCAGGAAAGGTAGCGTACGGATGGAGCAACTAACATTAATGATGGTTCTGTGCCAGGAAGCCCGTCCAGTGCGCCAACAGGTACAGCGCCAAACACTGGAACTGGCTCATCTAAATGGAATACAGCCTGTGTTTAATATTTTATAAGTTTTAATGAGCTCAGGTTTTTGATTTAAAATCTTAACTTTAAAGGTAGCCAGCTGTCAGACAAATGTAGTGGAGTAAAAACTACAATATTTACCTGTAAACTGTAAGTACAGTGAGTGCACCAGCTGTACTACATTTCCCAGCAGCCCCCGCTACAACTGGGCGGTCCATTTATTTAATCTTGCTCTGCACACCTGAAACGAATCGGAGTTTTAATTAAAGCCCGCAGTGTCAGCTGGCAGTTGTTTTTTTTGGAGTAAATAACGTTGTTTTTGTTTATGTCAAAGCAAAATATTCACACAGCTTCACTTCACTGAGGTAAATATTTGCTGCTTGTGCTCGTTTCCGGTCTCAGACTGATGCTAGTGATCAGTTGTGTCTTGTCATGGAGGTAGTATTTCCCTTCAGTGTGTGTGTGAACTGACTAAATGACATGTTTTATGGATATTTCATATTAGCCTATATTCCATGCAGAACAATAACAGTACAGAACAGCTGACAAACTGTACAGTGAACACAAATAGTGATTTGGATGAATTTTAAGGCAGATTATTTTCTGTGAATATTCCATCAGAGATGAGTTTTCCTGATATTTAGGAACTTTTTATACATTTGTCTGTATTGTTTTAAAGAAAATGGACATTCATACATACTCAATAGGCTTCTTTTTTGGGACAATGGGAGATTTGGGAGATATCCAATGCAGGACGAGACTGTTCTGTATATGTGAATATAGCTTATGTTCAGGTCTTTAAAGTTTATATCTTAAATAAAAATCTAAACTTAAAGATTTACTCACAAGAAATGAATGAAATGATAAAATGTAGCCCTGCTGTGTGTATATATAGCTTTCTTCCACCCCTTAAAATCAGAAAAATGAAAAATGTGAATGTCTCCACAATTAGTGTTCCTCCTATTTATTTTACACACTAGACCTTTTAAGAGCAAGTGGTTTGTGTGCGTTACACTGAAAAGTGGAAGATGTATTTCTTGCTAATAACTTATGTCCTCTAGTTAGTATGTTATGTAAAATAAGAATGTGTGTAACAACCTAAATGTATAAAATGTGTATTAACTATTAAATATTTCGAAGTTTGAAACATGTTTGAAGTTTGTGGAAGTCCTGGATGATGAATAATTTGTACAGACAAACAAGGCAGAATAATAAAGATATACATTTATCAGTGGCTGAAGCAGATAAACTGATTCACTGAAACTGCTGTTACTGTTTGTTTCTACTCAGAAACAGGTAAAACCGATGTCTCCATCCTGAGACATTAAGGAATAGTTTCAAGAGACCACAACGGAAAACCAACCAGGCTTCATGGAATGTGGAAAACAAGGAATGGAAAGTTAAAAGAAGCAAAGTTCAAGGTAGGAAGGACTGGCTAGCCACTCGTGCTTTGGTTTTGAATGTTGATTGATATGACCCCTGGAAGGAGCAGGTCCAAGGTCAGCACAAGGAGGCTTTTACAGGCTGTGAGGCTCATGAAATATCATTAAGTCCCTCATCATCCCTGAAAGCAACCTCCTGTCTTACAGTGAGCAAGGAGCCACTTGAGGGCAGTGCAGACCATATTTTTGACTAAAATCTAAACTCTAGATAATAGAAGGCAACCTTTAATCTTTTTAAAAAAAACATCTTTCTTTAATACCAATGAACCACGCAAAGTGATGCTGCTTCACTACCACTTGTCACAGGCAATGGTCCATTACATAATAGAGACAGATTAATCGTGGATATTTGAGAGTTAAATAATGGTATATTGATTGACATGTTTTTGAAAAAAACATTAGATAGT